ACCTTCTTATAACCGTTTTAACTAGTTAGACCGTTATCGACTATACTACCCAATATAGTAAGTACAGTTACCTCCTGGGTATTGGTCCATTACTACGACCTCTTCTTTTTCCTAATAATTGCAGTCACTTAGCTAGCGGTCTAACTAGCTGTCTAACTAGCGGTATTCTAGCTGGCATTCTAGCTAGCGGTCTAGTTAGCCGTCTAATTGGCCGTCTAACTGGCCGTCTGACTAGATTGTATAGATGGAGGGGTGCGCTAGCTGGTATTATTAGCTATTTTAGGTATGGTAGTATGGGTGTAAAAGTGTATAATCTACTGTCACATCGATTTATAGACCTATAAATACAAAATTTCAGAAATGTGGGATTCTTGGGCCCCAAACGCGACTCTGAAATGCAGTTCTGAACACTAACTGGGTGGAGCTCAAAATCTCGGCATTTACCGCCAAAATCCGGTTCAGGAGAGTCCGTGCTGTTCCTCTGAAGAACACTTTAGAAAATCCACTTTAGAGCCCAATTTCACGGGAAACAAACACGCCCTAATAGGGCGCTGGGCACAGACCTCATTGCACAAGATGGGCATAGGGTATTCCCAACCTGGCAAGCCTGGCACTCACGCTTGCTGGGCTCCCCCCGACCAACCCTTCACCTTGCAGACAATAGATCCGGAAAAAAAGGAAGACGAGGGAGATTGACAGGCAGGTACACCACTTCACCACAAGGCCACAAACACATTCTACGGAGACATTCGGAGATTTTGCACATCAGGCTTTCATGACGGATCTTTATTAGATGGCTCCACTATGAATTCCCTTCCCGTCCTGGTCGTCGCAAGAAACTCCGAGTTCCATGTCTCCCTCCTTTGTGGACTACCCGCGGATGTCAGTACGTGACTAGTGGATTAGTTGTGAGTTACGGCGGCGCTTCCCTCCGTGACTTCATGGCAAGGAAACAACAACGATGATCATTTACTAAACTCCCTACCTCCATGAGGCGTTCGCCAAAGTGTAATTACCTTCTGGTTGCCACTCTTGATAGGCGAGGTCTAGATGCACTAGAAATGATATAATCACATTGGACTGACCCGCATCTGGCATTGGCAATAAATTGCACTAAAACGCCAAGTAGCGTTTATCGTCCCATGGATTTGATAGGCATGTATCTCGAACGATAATTCTAACCTGGGTCAAGGTGTCCGTGTGTTGGGCAATGTTATCTGTTAGCATCAAAGGTGGGTGGGTGGTTCACAACAATGCAGTTGTGCACTACCGGAATTTGGGAGACTTCCCGGCAAACTATCGTCAGGTACGATGGCGTCACTGTATAAACCAGAGATATTCTTTATTTTTTTCTCGGACGATATGTTGGGGTCCAATCAGCATACATCCAGTAGTATCAACACCCAGGACACCCTCTTCTGTGAATGGTCCAGCCCAATGATCACCCTTTAGACTTTAGGGCATGCCAATCATGCATTACTTCATGCACAGTTGATCATTTCAAGGTGGAAGTGAGACACATGATGACGAACTACAAAATCGATTGAGAAAGAGAACAACGACATGCCGCCCGTCTCTCAACGAGAAAAAGTGCAAATCCACTTGGGATCGGTGGGAGAACCGGGCCGGACCATGCATAAACATGCATTACTTTATGATTGTATTTCAAGCACCGAGTACCGTAGGTACGGAAACGGCTGCTGTGGCCTGTACGGTCAGGTAAGGCAGGGACTATCCTTGTCAGACCCACCATCACCACGCGAGCAGATATCCGACCTCTACACTACACTACCGCCGTCTGCAACCGAACCGACCCGACCATGATCACCAACAGCAAGGTGATGCCCATACAGAGGTGTACCGTATGATGACGCCCTCTGTCTCTCTTCATCTTCCACTTTCTTCGTTCCTGCAGGACAATGGAACGAACCTCTAGACTAAGGATCTAGGGCCACAGCTGCCCTGCCTGTATCCACCCCTCTCGTGGCCTATCGCTCGCTCTCCCACTGGGGACCTGGAACCTGTAGTAGGTAAGGTACGCGACAAGTCAGTATCTTACATCATGTGTAAAAATTATGACCCAGGTCCGGAGCTCCCGTAGACCAAACTTCCACCAGGCTCGTGTGGCTTGTGTAGTTGAGAGTATGTAACCCAGTTCGTTATTCGACAATTGCTTCTCTTCTTCTGAGACATTGAGCTTGCTGAGATCATGGAACTCAAAAAACCATTTGCGTCATTGCACTAAGGTTCTTCACGAGCAATGTCCTCTGCGGCGGAAGTTGGGTGTACTATCAACTTGCCCCTATCCCCACAGCTCAGGAGCGCCAACGAGAACAGAAGAAGCAAAACGAGGTGTTCAGGTGAGGTCAACTTTTTATGCATCCTTGGAAATTCCAACAGTTACCTCTAAGCCCCAATTGTCGATAGAAGCTTACTGAAACTTGATGTCCTTGGTCAAAGGCGAAAGTTGCCTTGCCGGTCCCGGTCATGGCCCTGCTCCAAGTTTCCCAGTGTGTATGTTCCTCTTTGCCATTCCAAGTGTACCTATAATCCCGCATTACGTTCTTTCTGCAGATCATCTTTGAAGAATTCGAGCCAGGCCTCACGGCCAAGTAACAATCTCGTGATGTGATTCTTTGCGACCTAACTCTAGGACTTGCTGCCCGCCTAGACTATGTCTAAAGGTCTTTTTTTTTTTTTTTTTAAATTCTTCTTTTTTCGCAAGGGCAAGCCAATTTCCTGGGGATAAAATGATGTTTTTGGATAAAGCTTTGCGCAAATCATGTCAGCACTGAGGCTGATAACTTCGGGATTGTTCTGGAATTCTTCGGTGACGGAACTTTTAGACGGGTGGATGACGGCGGCATAAGGAAATTCAAATTGACCGATTGTTTTAACGCTCACACCCTTCCAGGCCCATCAATGTTTCTGTGTGGTTCAAAAGTTTCCCTGGATAGAATGTTAGAAATTGTGTTTGTGACAATGGCGTTTCCGAGTGCAGCTCCGAACATCTTTCCCACACGAGTGGCCTAGGCTTCGGATTAAGGTCAAAAGGGAAGCAACACAGCATCTGGCCACTTGTTTCCGGTTATTGGTGTCCGTGCCATGATCATGGGCGGCTTATGATAATCTCACACGTTTTCGTCAGCTGAATTGAGCACAGTTAGAGCCTCAAGGGACAGAACTGTATTTTTGCACGTCTGTGTAAGACATCTCCTCGTGGACATCTGGGGTAGCCCATGATCTCAAGGAAATAATCTTCATCTGGCAGTAGCCGAAAAGCTTCACTGCTTATCGGTTGCATAATTCCACAAAAGTGATGACAGCGAGCAACTCGCGCATGAAGCTGTGAACAATGAAATGCTGAAGCGAGAAAGCACAACAGCTTGGACCCGTAGCGTACGAGACGAACATCACAGCATTGCCTTGGGAAGATAGGAGTCAAATGCTGAGGGAAACGCCAGTGGAGATAGCCGAATCAGGGGTGTTTTTGCTTGCGCTGCTTTCTACATTGGAACAAATTAATCGGACTCTCCTCGGCATTACAGGCTGCTGCAGCTTTCAACAGCGTTTCAATGACAAGCCGTGTGCGGTCTGGCTTGCTCCAGGGCGTACTCGGCCTCGAGATTCGAGAAGTTTGGTGACAAGTTTCGAGCGATTAGACATCAGCTATCAATCAGTCAATTCCAATCTCATATGCCAACTGTGACTGAATCAAAGCCCTTTGGACCATGTTAGATTAGCTTCCTTTTGCCTTCCCAGAACAACGTCAAAGCCCCCGTCATGTCCATCATGAGTAAGGAAAAGAGCTACTCAGTTCAAGTAACTCCAGAACGCGCGAAAGTTTCCTCGGCCTAAGGAAAGAGCACATCAATCCTCGAGGTATCTGTGATAACCGAATTTTTAGAACGAATACATCATCCACTCTGCTTTATTTTTCCACAATTCTATCACTCATGATATGCACTCGACCCAGACATATCATTGTAGAAGTAGCAATTGCGCGGTCCAATTGAATTTTGCAACGATGAAAGAAACTATTACTTTGGGTCTAAGTAAGCAAGCACACATCACGCTTCAACCAATATTGGAAGGCTTCCGATAAAGTCACAACTGCGCTGACTTCTATATCTGTTCACATTGCAGCACTACATTATAGATTTGCGTCAGGAAAGGTATCCAATTTTTGACATGAGTCTACCCAGCAGTTGAACTGATATCGCTTTTGATTCGAGAGTTTCTGATTGAGCAGCCACTCCCTGCATACCTCCTTACGTACGACAGAATGTAGTACAATACACCAAGGCCAAACTCCAAACAAATCCCCGGTGTCCCTAACTCCTATCACAGCAATCATAGATTAAGCATGGGAGCCCTTGATCACTAGTGGTAAGAAATGCATTATTGATCTAAAGACAGCTGCGTAAGGAAGCAGGAAGTGTATGCCCAACCTGAAGCAACAAGTAATCCTGGAGTCTTCTTACTCTCTGAAGTGTGAACCCACGACTTTCTCCAGAGCAAAGGATCAACAACAGAGAAAGATGTTACCACATGCACCAACACCAGACCACCGAGTGTCACGCAACACCATATTCAGGGCGTGGTGATCCCAGAGGAAGGGAGTCAAAGCGTCCATTTATATGTAGCTATCCGTGGACACAACCATGAGGCAGGTAGACGCCAGCTGAATTAGATCAGAAGCATATTCTCATTCAATACGTAGGTATCAGTGAAGTTTTCTATATACCTCCTACTAGATATAGACTATTCAGTTGATCCAACAAAAGCCTCTACCACACTTGAGACACTTGTGTGTGTTCAACCTGGTTCGATTCCCCAAACGCATCCAAGCCTCCCTACCTTCGTTCTAGACCATAGGTCTCCACCAAGCGTGATTGGTACCTCACTCACGAACTTCCACTGCAACTTCAATCTTCGTTCCTTCCTTCTTCTCCCCTTGGGCCCGTGCCTACCACATCTCAAAAGCATCTACGTACCTGCTAGTACCGATAAGGTCCCGTCCATATCGATGTGGCACGTCGCCCGGGGTTGTACGGTAAGTGGTAGTGGTGTCGCCCTTTCTCCTCGTACTGCTTTGTTCCTTTCCTTGGGCTTACCTTGGCCGTTTGAACCATGTGTGGTGTCACTTTTGCTTCTCTTTTCCTTTTTACTCGGAATTTCTTCTTCTTCTCTTCTTTCAGTATAAACAAATGACACGAGAAGTGGCAGGATATGGCACCTTTCCCATGGACACCACGGAGGACACAAGGGCCAAATAAGCTTGTTATACCGAGCTTGGTTCTGGAAGATTGAAGTAGCTGGAATAGCTGATTTCTACGGAGGTCATTTGCCTCTTAAGCCGACTTTCATCCATGGTGTATATGGAAACAGCTTGAAAGATAGGCAACTTGCAATATGTACGTACCGCCGGCCATGTGTTGCTTGTAGGAATCTATCGAAGCACCAGTTTTCATTCATGTCTATGGCACGGGTCAAGCATCGTGAGAGAAAATTGGGGGTTCCCTCTTTGAAGGCTAGAAAAACACGAAGAGAAAGAAAAGCCTAGCCCATGCGCATTCATGACGATGATGGACAAGGTGGAAACAAGGCCCTATGCGACCTTGCAGAACTTTTTTTGATGAACTATCTAAATCTTCCTGATTAGACCGACCACCATCCATCTAGGGGCATGTCTACCGAGTCAAGTTGTCAGCAGGTCATATGTCATTCTTCAGGTGTGCCACAATCACAAAGCAAACCCCATGTCTAGCTGAGCTTTCCATCGTCCAAAGTCAGCTCACTCTCTCTTTGCTTCACCGAATCAGCCGGCCTACCACGCACCAAAAGTCATGTCGGTCCAAGCCGACCAACATCTAGTTCCTTTTCAGGCGGACAGGGAAACACTCTCTTTCTCGCTATGTTTCCAACGAAGCAATGCGAGATATGTTTTCTACACAATCCTACCCATTCTGCACATCATGAATCTGCTGTACAACGGTCGCACAATTCTGTCATGTGGCATTACACAGCATTTGTCCATCTACTTACTACCTTACCTACTCTGGTTTGTCTGGTTACCTGCCTAGGTACCTAGAGGCATTACTGTTACGTCCCCTCTACACTAAATTAGACCAAAGCACGCTTGCCTTGGCCGACTCCTCCCAGGAATCCCTTCATACCACCCCCCNCCCCNCCC